ATAAGAGAGAAATATTGAAAGAGAGAGAAGGAGAGAGAGAGAGAGAATGATAGGGAGGGATGCATGGAGGGGGAGATAGAGAGTTAAAGTTTTGAAGTACATGTATTTGATTGATATAAAAGACGAAGAAAAATAAGAAGAATATGAAATCGGAGAGAACGAAGAAGACGAAGGCGATGAAGAAGAAGATGATGAGGAAAATATGTGAAAAACAGCAAAGAAGAAGAAGATGTGACAAAAAAAAACTTAAAAAAATAAGAAGTAAGAAAATACATATAGAATGAATAGGAGAACAAAAAAGAAATAAAAAAAATGAAAGAATAAGAAGAAGACGTGAGAGAAGAATGAGAGATAAAGATGGAAGACGATTAAGAATTAAACAAGAAAAACTAAAAGGTAATAAGAGAAAAAAATAAGATGAATAACAATTATGTAGAGACGTATGACTCGCTTTTGTCTTAGTTTGTGAGTTCAGTACATTTATTTAGTAAACATTTTTATCTTTAATTTTGGATTGTGTTTACCTTTTGGATTTGCTTTATTTTATTATGTATGTCTTCAATAGATTTTTTAGTAAACATTTTTTTCAGTTTTTGGTTTATAATATTGAAACTCTTATGCCCGCACAGGGTGCGGGCTAAACACCTAGTTTATTTTATTATACCAAGTAAACTATAAAGTATAATGGGTGAGATGTAATGTAAGATTGTGGAGGTTTATAAAAGGAAAGTAAATATTTCAACACTTAATTTACACATAGAGAGAGAGAAAAGATCTGAGAGAATCAATGGCGCAAACTAGGGTTCTGTCCTGTGTGGCAGTTATTGTAACGTGTTTGGTGTGTTTAGGGTTTAATGTTGGGATGTGTTCATCAGATTCAGATCCCTCGATTATGACTTACGTCTTATCATCATTACCGTCTAACCGTGACTTGGTTTATTCCGCTAACTTCAAGTGTAACTTAACCAAATCTATTTTTAGCACATTTAAAAAATAATTTGCTTTAGTGTTATCTTTCTTATTGATTTATAACGCTTTAACTTTCTATTTATCCAATGCATGTAGTAATACACAGAATCACTGAATCCGAATGGGATTCACTTGTAAGCCAGTCCAAACTCCTGGTGATGGTTATGTTCTTTGCTGAGTGGTGTGCACCATGTCTTGAGATGCTCTCCATACTGGATGCACTGAACAGTCACTTTACAAATCGGTTCAAATTCTACATAGTCGAGATTGAAGAAGAAGTTATCATAGACCGTTGTTATGTAGACTACCTTCCGACCTTTATTGTCTTCAAAGGCGGAGAAGAAATGGATAGACTTGTCGAACCTGATGATCCAAGGAAAATATGGGAGCTCGTGGATCAATATATGTGATTGTCCCTGGTCTCTAGGCTCTAGCTCGTTTATATCTGTGTTTGCTGCTTCTTCTTTTTTGCCAAACCTTTGCTTTTGTGCACTGCTACTATGTGATTGACTTTTGTTGGTCTCATTTCATCAATTAATAGGTTTGTACCCGCACTGTGATGTTTGATTTTAATAAAACAATAGGTTGTAAAAGTATGCACTCAGCATTAATTACGAAATCATGACTCCTGAAGTTCATGAAACTTTTGTGTAATATCCCTATCCTAGGTCTCTAGAAATAACCAAGAAATTGGAAACTAATCCCCAATGGTTAAATCATCCAGTTTGAATCCATTAGTGAGCACACAAAATCGTCAGGAATACCCCCAGGTCACATGACAATATAAGACTTAGGCGATCATACTAATCTGAAAAGAACAAAAGGAAGATGAAGTGAGTAATGAAAATTACTTAGTGAGGATGAGCTTGAGGAAGACTCACAATTCACTTCCCGACAATAATCTATTCAATTAAAACAAAAACACATGTTGCATCGAAAGAGGAAAAAATACATTTAAGTTTATTTTTTCTGGATAGATACTATTTTTTTTTTGTCATCGGATAGATACTATTTATGTTGCCAAACAGGTTAATTCAGTCAAATATTAATAAAAAAATATTTTATATACAAATTTAATTCTGATATTCAAATATTAATTAGATTATTTTGGATTTCTTTAATATATATTAGATTATCTACCAAAAATTATGACAATCAGTTATTATCTTTACAAAAATAATAAATCAGATCTTAATTTAGAATTAATTTGAATATTCTAATTTAAATAATATATATATATACTATTCAAATAATTTCTTAAGAATACAAATATTTTTTGAAAAAAAAGAATTATAAAATATTTATAATGATGTAAATAAAATGATATGTATGTTGATTATATAAAATATTTACGATTATGCTTCATATATAAAATCTGAAGTTAACAAAAAAGAATTAAATCTACAGAAACAAATTAGAAGAATTATATCTATAAAAAATAATTATGTCTATACATAAAAATACAAATTATATTATAAAATTTGATAAAACAAAAAAATTTTGTGCGAACGCACGAAATAGAATCTAGTTAAGTATTATAAAAGTCTAATCATAAAACAAGCACACACAATGAGGAATCCACAAAACAAGACACTTTGATCCTCATTTTATTTCCACCACACTTACACTTGATTGGTATAGCTGATACTAAAGCATTATGTTTAAGCAACTTAAGCAGTGTGATACTGAAGCTATATGTTTTTATTAATGAACATATTTTAAGTGATTGGCTGAGCTGTGAGCAATTGTTAAAAAAAAAAATTATTTATTTATATGCAGTATATTATATTTACAATGTAGATTTTTAATTATTTTATATATTTATTCATATTTATTAAATTATCACTGAATTATAATAGTTTTTTTAAAATAATTAATAGTAAATATTAGTGTTAATATGTAAAATTTATAATTTAATATAAATATAATTTTTGATGTTATTTTAACAAAATAAATTAATTATATAAAATTATTTTGAATTACTAAAATATTTAAAAGCATAATGCTTTGGAAAAGCTTCAAGAGAGAGCATTGAGGAAGGAGTATTTAGGAGACCATTTACATCTTCTAAATGCTCTCCTAAATGCTCTATTAACAAAAGTTAATTGAATGATTTAAGAGAAATTAGTTAGATTGACTCTAATTTTAATAAAAATGACTAGAATGACTCTCTATTGAAAGTTTTACTAGAATAACTCTAATTTTAATTAGAAAAGACCAGTAAACCTTAGTTTTTTTCGATAATCACAGTTGTGCTATTTTGATTTAATTTTACAAGAAAAAATCACTAATTTACACAATCATCAATTATTAAGTAGTAAAAACATTTTTCTTACACATTTATTAAGAAAATAAACATTACTAACCCTAATCATTGATGACATTCTTCTCTTTTCTCCTCTTTACATACGCCGCCACTGGTCAGTGGTCAACCAACTCCGGCCTCCTTCTCATCGATAGGTAAGATCTTAAACCCAACATCCAAATCTTTTTTTCTCTCTTTATTTCTCTCACTTGCTAATCTCACGCTCTCTCGTTCTATCTGTTTTCTTCGCCGCTAACTCTCTTTTTTTTTTTTCTCTCTTGCAGATCCGTAGGCGGCTTCACTCATGCATAACGCGCACCTCCGTCTTCTCCAACATACCAGTTCAAAAATGTGGAGATGGATGCTTTGAATTTCGTTTAAGCTATTGTAGTTTTTGAAGAATTTGTTTTGTACCAAACAATATTGGGTTGTTGTAAAGATTTCTCCCTATTGATTTTTAACGAGAAGAAACAAACCCTAACCACCGTCCGTTCACGGTGTGTTCCATATTTTGGATAACAGATTTATGTAAATTTAAATCAGTTTGGTGGCATATTTCTTTATATGACGTTGTGATGCTACACTTGTTTTGCTTGTAAGAATAGTTTTATTAGGTTATGGCAAAGTTAAAATATAGTTATAGTAGATTTTCATAGTAAACTTGTTGTTCTATAACATTTTGATGGCAATCATTTCTATTGTGGCATAATTTTTTTAAGTGACGATAGAGTTACTATAATAGACTTGTCATCAGCTGATCAGAATTGATTTCTCCCTTTCTTTCTTCACAATCCATTGAGTTCATTTTGTCTTGGGCTTTGTTGCTTATCTCAACACACATCCTTACTGTGTTAGACACAAACTGACCAGGAAGCCTTGAAATTGTCTGCAGTTTTGAACAAAAACAGGTTGTGTATCCCGTGCGAGTTTGCTAAGTATCCTCTTTGGTAATATGTAGCTAAGCTTACCACGTGCATATTCTCGTCTAAACCATAATCCTCAAAACCATGCGTAGGAAATCAGCATACTGTGTACTTTTATTTGCAGCTAGAATTTTGTACCCTCTTGTATTATCGACAACAAATAGCCACATGCAATTTTCAAACTGCCAATATAATGTCCGCATACAAAAATCACTTGCTCCATGATTGTCGAAAACCTCTGATGAGTCTATCACAAAAAGAACAGATAGAACTTGCAGCAACCCTAGGGAAACCAATGTTTGATATGATCGTGTTTTAGGAAGATTAATAAGGGTTATTATGGATATACCGTGGCTAAAATATTTTTCATATCCTGAAATTAAATCTGTTTGTAAAAGTATATCATAACAGTTTCTGTTTAATTCTACCATAAGTATTCGGTAAGTCTATTTACAAATCTTTACCAATATTAAAATTTATATATCTGCCGGAAATAAGTTTTTTACCAGAGAAAGGTTAATCTAGTAACAAAACAAATTTGCTATGTTGTTGACATTGTAAATTTGCCACCAAATAGCAGATATTTATAAGTTTTTTATATCATATAAATAACTCTATCATGACATAAGAGTCATATTGGTAATTAAAGTAACACTTGAATAAATCTGTGAACTCATAGATTTATTCAACATGATTATAACATTGTCACCATAGCCAAATCTCTATCATGTCTTCGAAGGATAACTCTGTCAGATTAATAATAAATCTGTCATACATTTACGTTTTGTATTTTAAAACTGCCAAATTTGAAACATATTTATGGACTTTATGGTAAATTAATTTAAAATCTGTATGTACAAAAAATAAGTCTGGCAAATTTCTATAAGTCTTTGTGAAAACTTTAAATCTCTCACAATGCAACACAGATTTATTTAAATAAGTCTGTGTTATATAATCAAATCTGCCATAGGTAATTAAATCTTTCATCATACGTAATAGATTTATTGAATTAAGTCTGACAATCGACCAAAAATCTACCATCTGTAATTAAGTCTATTACACCCTAACAAATCTGTTGTAATTAAGTTGATAGATTTATAGAATTTGGAGTTTGGCAGACATATTCAAATCGAGAAAAATGGTGGCAAAATCGTAAATAAAGTGATATATTTGCTGACGTGGAAATTAATTGATAATGGCATTTTTGTTATATTTTTTTTCCTACAACAAGTTTATAAGGGCAGTTTAGGTACGATTATTACTAGAATAACCTAAATTTTTAGTAAGTCATTCTAGTAATAATTGTAAAAATTAAGGTTAACCTAGTTAATCTCCCATGATTTAAAGCATAATGCTTTTCTAAAAGCTCTACCAATGAAGGCCTCTACGACCATCCCCACTATTAGTACCATATCTCAACATCCACCTTTGAAGGTTATCAATGTCTCAACACCAGGAGATTATGACCAACCTCAAAATATCTGGAAACTTAGAAAAAAGTTTAGCAAAATGGATATACGACCAATTTCAGCTTAGAGTCAAACCCAGAAGTTCACCCTTAAATGAAAACCTGCTCACCGTCTGATCCAGCTCAAATTTGGAGACTTTACATATGGAACAAACGGCTTTCCAGCACACTTGACACCAAGAAAATCCAACGGTTCAATCAAAAGTTACGCGAATAGCAAGATGTCCCGTCAACCAGCCAGCACCCAGTTTACACCGGTCACGTCTCTTCTGACTGTGGAGATTGGTCTGTTCAGCCTAGAAGCCCATTTCCAAGCCCAAATAGATTCTTTCATTTGGAGAAACCTTCAGTGACGTCTGGAAATGACTTGAGCACTATAAATACATGTTTTAGGAGCCATAAACTGTACCGCAAGCATATGTTAGGCTGTGTTATCTTATTTTAAGTTTTTCTTAGTAGTTTTAGGTTTAGGGAGATATAGATCTGTCTCCTGAACCCTCTTTGTTTATTTTCAATATCGATTTTCATTCAACCTTTCAATACTATGTTTTTGCTTTCTTTAATCATGTCTGAGTAGTTTTATTGTTGGATTTAAGGAAATTTTTGATGGGGAACATATATGTTTGATAAGGGTTCCATTAGCTATTAAAGCCGAATCCTAGAACTTTTTCTTCAAAACTTATTTTTAATGCATGGGAGTAGCGTCATGAGCTA